AGAGAGAGAGAGAGAGAGAGAGAGAGAGAGAGAGAGAGAGAGAGAGATTAACAACAGAAGTAAATCAACCAGGAACATTAAGAGCAAACATGTTCAACAATCTTTACTCTTAGGCACCCCTGAGGCCATTTGTCTTTGGGACTTTCGGTTCTAGCAGGGAAGTCGGTACTCAGAGACAGGGAGAGCCCAGTGTGGAGAAGAGAGGGCCCTTCATTTGCGGCTTGCTTTGCTCTCCCTGGTGGTTGTTGTATCCTACTTCTCTTTAATAACAAATGTTTTAGAGTTCTGTTTAGCAAGAAAAAAACTGACATAAATATGTTTGGTGTGGGGTCTCTATATAATGAAATCAGCAGTCATCATTGCGGGATATCTTCTCTCTGGGTCCTATATTTTTCAGTTTCTCTAAAATGAATGAATATCACCGCCAAAAGCAGAAACAAATGTTTTATCCTCTCCTAATTTGTTCTTACAGAGAGAAAGAAATATTCTCATCAAAGGTTATTGTAAAAGACAAAGTCCCTTATTAATTTTATACTTCGTAGGAGGGTCCCAATGTAAAAATATTAAAGCTTTGCTTTAATTAAACATAAAGCCACCTAATAATTTTAAATTCTCCTTTGAGGACAGCCATATTCACTTGACCTAAATCTACCCTGGCCAGAGGTGTCTACAGAGGCCACCCATGAGCTCGTTAATGCCTATTGTTGCCTCAATCTATCTCTCAACTTCACTGGGGGGTCTAGGAAGATAGGGAACCTTGAAAGAGGGAACAGGGTCCCCTCTTATCATCTCCATCTGTAGATTTCCCATTTGACAATCAGGCTTGTGTCTGCTTTCTGGGAAAATATTCGTATTACTCATGGTTAATTATGAGTCTACAGAGAGACTTTTGGAGCACGCTAGGGGTTTATGAGGAGCAAACTAAAGTGCATCCAAGAGAGTCTCTTTACAAGCCCTTGTTTAAAATAATAAATCTTGTCATAGGGAAGCTGCTTCCAGCAATATTCCTGTCTTATTTGAGGAAGGTGCTACAATTTTGTCTCCCTGATACATTAAAAGAGAATCAAAATGTTACTGTCAGCCACTTGGTAAGGTCAAATAGAATGGCTCACGTGAGAGATTACCTCAGATGAGAGTTCACAGGACAGACCCAGGGACCAGCATGGGGATGCTGGGTAACCAACAGGAGGCAGGGCTGGCCCAGGGACCAGCATGGGGATGCTGAGTAACCAAAAGGAGGCAGGACTGGCCCAGGGACCAGCACGGGGATGCTGAGTAACCAACAGGAGGCAGGGCTGGCCCAGGGACCAGCATGGGGATGCTGGGTAACCAACAGGAGGCAGGGCTGGCCCAGGGACCAGCATGGGGATGCTGGGTAACCAACAGGAGGCAGGGCTGGCCCTTGGAGAAAAGGCATGGTATAAATGAGGTTGTGAAGGGGCTCTTCGATTTTAAGTGATCCGCCTTCTGAAGCATGATAATCGGGCAGCCTCTTCCATGGATCTCCCAGGGATCTATTGGTATTTGTGGGGCCTTTTTTATAGTATAGGCATCATGGATTCCCAAAGAATTTTGAAATCCCAGAATTGTGTGAATTCCATACTGAGAGGCAGATCTTTCTGGGTTTTTCTTTGGAGATGTTGCTTGCAACTGGCCTTGTACCTGTGATCACGCTGCCTCGGCTTCCCAAGTGCTGTGCTTACAGGGTTGTGCCTCTGGACACAGTTTACAAACAAATTTAGGAATAGTTTTAAAAATAGATTTGTGCTACCATTGCAGCAGGTATCGGCCTGTTTGCTGGTACTTACGGCCAGGAAAACTGTCTCATCAAGTTCCTCGGCCTCTCTCACGATGGTCTCCAGGGTGTCCTTAGCTGTGTCCATGCTCTGCAGGAAGTGGACCATCTGGTCATGCAGGAACTCCATCTTTTTCTTCTTCACTTCCTCAAAGCTCTGTGCTTTCTCATCATACTGTGCCAAAACTTTCTTCATCATTTCCTCGTTCTGCATTTCCAGTCGTTTCTCATTTTTGCTACACTTTTCCTAAAAGGGTGGAACGAAAGCACTTCTTAATGAGCCAAGAAGTGATGCCTTCACTTACCCTTCATCTTTTTTTTTTCCCCTTTGGAAGAACTGGCTTCTGACATCACAGTAAAAGAATCAAACATTAAATACGTGGTCTAAACTTTCTATCTCTTTTTCTGTAATTAGCTTTGCAATGGAATTCTCTGTAAGAGTATCATCAAGAAGGTACAGAAATATCAAAAATTTTAAAAAGAAAAGAAAGTTATATCCAGAGAGGATGCTGGCAATCAGGCAGTAGAAAGGACTTGTGTGATTCTCACCTCTCTGCATCAATATTCTCCTGGGAGAAGCAGACTTACCATAGTGGCAGGAACTTTACTGTCCATTTGGACACACCTAGTGATTGGCTATTCTCACTAGAATGACTGAGGGAGGGGGCAATCAAGCAGCTGCTCACTGATCAACAACAGAAACAAGGGGATTGGATGGTAGTTTTCAGCAGTGGCCTGCAGCCCTCTGGCACTCCTGATTGATAGCTGCAGGTATCTGGACCACCTCTGGATAAGGACAAAACATTCCCACCCATCCTCTTCATGGTGAAGGGGCAGGAGCTCACAGAAGTGTATATATTCAGAGGTGTCCTGAGGTATCCATAAGCCCAAATTAGTTGCTATAGAACATTTCTGGAGGCCAAGCCAGTGTGGGGCAGAAAATGAAACGGAAGTCTCTCATTCATGAAATAGAAACAGTAACTAACACCTCTTAGTAACTGATGGTGAGGGTCAACCTTCAGAGAGCATATGCCTTAGTATGCCAGGGTCCCAAGAAATGATTGTCTTTAGGGGAAAATTCTTCATCCTTAGACAGGAAGTAGTCTCATGGCTCACAGTGAGGAAAGACTATAAGAACCACTGCTTTTTATTAGGATAGCCAACAATGTAAACCACACACACACACATACACACTACATATTACATTCTCCACACACACACACAACGCATGGATGTATACTACATACTACACACCACACACATACTACATACCACATGCATGCTACAATACACACACCAATTCAGTTCCAAATAGCTTCCTGTTGATACAATGTGTAAAGCAGGAAAAAGCAGAAGGAAGTATGTTAACCTACCTCAATGGTATTAAAAAAGGATTCAATCTCAGTAACAAAAGCTTCAATCCTCAAGGATTTTTCTTGTAGGTTCTCAAGAAATTCTCCTAATTGAACCTGAAGGGTGAAATTAAAATATCTTTACTGCACAGCATTAGAGGAAAACATTTCAATTAGTGAGTTCTGGTTTCTTTAATATATTTGCAGAGGTTCACTAAACTATTTTCACTAACAAATCAAATTTTGAGTATTTTGTCTTTTTTTTTTTTTTTTTTTTTTTGCTGCTTCACCTAAATGGATTGAAAACATTGTGTGTGATAAACAGTGGCGTTTGTGGTGCTGGAGAAATAGCTCAGTTGGTTAACCACCTTCTTTGCAAGCTTGAGGGCAGAAGTTTGATCTCCAGACCAAGGTAAAGCCAACTGTGAATGGATGTGCAAGCTCACAGTCCCAGAAATGGGGTAGCAGAGACGGGTGCAGTCCACCATGAAGTCATGGTGGTAGGAGGCAGTGGGTTGCTTTGTATTTACTGTCTATCTACAGGTGATTCTAAAATTCCTCAAACTGACAACACCATAGGGTTCTATTTCAGAGTATATAAAACTCATGTCCTTATGAGCAGTAGTAATTCAAATCCAGAGTTTATTAAACACAAATGTCTATGCATATGTGTGCTTACATTCACATGAAGACCAGAGGAAAATCTCAAATATTTTCTTCAGGCACTGTCCACCTTTTTTGCTTTTGGCAGGGTCTCTTGCTTTTCTGGAAGTCATCAAGTAGGCTAGGCTGGCTGGCTAATGAAAACAGGGATCTGCCTCCTTCATTTCCTCCTTCAGGGTATTGCACACCAGACTGGAAGAATGGATTGAAGTCCAGAACGAGGTGTATGTGTGTGGTGGGGGCGGGGGCGGGGAGAAGGGGTAAGGTGGGAACCTTCTCCGAAGATTTTCGAGTTACAGTTCTTTTAGACGATACTCAATGAAACAGCTCTCTTAGACAGTCTTCAATGAAACAGCTTGTGTACATACACTTTATTTGAGGTCAACAAAGACTGTATATGAACTCTGGAGAGTGTCAAGGAGTTTTCAGGGTAAATGTAAAATCAATGGCTAGAGCTTAACGTACTGTGAATGTCTCATTTGTATTAAAGGATATCCCAGGAATCCCAGATACTTTTGGGTTGGTTCTCATCGGGAAAGAGGAAGTTGAACTTGTAGGTTTGCTAAGGGCTATGTGACCTTCCTCAGGTAGAGGGTCCCCAGATAAGGTCAGAGAAAGGGAAGCCCTGCTTCATTTTCCATTGAGCTGTCTGGACATGTGACCTTAAGTAGCAGGATTTCCCAGCAGCCATCTGGAAAATTAGGAGGGTGGTAGATGAGGATAGTCCCTTCTTTACCCATAGTCCTAAGTATTCTGGCCTGATGGGTTTGGCCTAATGCTGCTTGTATTCTTATGTTAGTTTGGGTCCCCAAAATTGTTTGCACTAGAGTCTGCATGCCAACACACATGTAAGACACTGAGGTACCCTGCCCCCAGTTGGTTCTGATTGGTAAGTAAAATTGCCGGCAGCCAATGGTTGGGCAAGGCAGACAGAGGTGGGACTTTTAGGATTCCTAGGCTAGAGACCAAGGGAGGAAGAAGAAGAAGATCCTCCATTCAGGGAGAAGGAGAGGAGATGCCACATCTGAGAAGGTGTAGGAGCCAGGAGGGTGTGGCCCAAGAAGGCTGCCCAACTGGGTCCAGGGCAGCCAAGGAAGAATACAGAATGTAGTAAGTGATAACTCGGGATTATCAGAGGGAGATGGATTAGCCACGTAGAGGTTAGGAAGTGGTCCAGCCATTGAGCTGGTTTAGGCATATCAAAATATAAAGGGTGTGTGTGTGTGTGTGTGTGTGTGTGTGTGTGTCTTTCATTAGATAATATAAACTATTGGGACAGTATTAGGAGCCCATCACCGGGATTTATTTAATTATTTTATTACTACCAAAAAAAAAAAAACCCAAAACTGAACAACAGACAGAACTGCAATTGTCTACAGAATGGTGATGGCACTGCATCATGAAGCCTCATCAAGAAGCCTCTAATTTCCTATAAGTCTCAGTCCTAAGTCCTGACCCCATCCTGAGCCCCGCCCCATCCCTTAGGCTTCTGTGACACAGCTGCGTCTTTTTGTAGTTTCTTCTCACACATGTGTTTTTCCTATATTTTCCACTTGTAGAATGTCCTCATTGCTGTTGACTATTAGAAGATCTCTACCTCATTAAAGCTCAGCCATACCTCAGCTTTTAAAGACATCTTTCCTGTCCTGCCCACTTCTACCCAACCACTAAACCCCCAAAGGCTTGCTCTCTCAGCTCCTGTATTCCTGAAAGCCAGTACCGATCTGAGGAACCTCTAAGTGCATGTTCTCATTTTCCATTCTTCCCCTCCCACTCCCAAGGCCTAGCATCCTTCCTGACACAGAGCAGGAGGTCAGCGAACACTGCAAAGGCAGGCCAGCAGTGAGTCAAGGATGGAGTTAAATGGATACGGATAAGAGATAGTCATCACCATGTTGGGGGTGGGCAGCCGACAGCCATGGAATAGCCACAAAAGTCCTCCCAGGAGGCGCTACCAAATTCTCCAGTTATAGCTGTTTGTGATATCCTTCTTTCTTAATTTCTTTTACATTTATTTGTATATATGAGTGTTTTGCCTACATGTATGCATGTGCACCACAGGTCTTAGAAGAGGACATTGTTTTCTTGGAATTGGAGTTATGGATGGCTGTTAGCGGCCGTGTGGGTGCTGGAAACTGAACGCAGTTCCTCTGCAAGAGCAGCCAGTGCTCATAACTTCTGAGGCATCTCTCCAGCCCCCAGTTTTTCTTTTTAGAAAGTTGCCTCCAACTCTTAATGTTCTTGGATAACTTAATGAAAAAAGAAAAGCAAGCCTTCCTGGCTTTAGTCAACTAGTTTTCACTTTTCTCCTTCCCACTCTCTTTAGAGACTATCAAACAACAAACAAAACCTTTAAAATGTTGTTTTAAAGATGACATCATCCTACTTTTGAAATGATCTTAAAATTTTGAAAAATATTATATGATCTGAGGAGATCAGAGTATTACTTTTGGACTTTTAAAATTCTCAGCATCTAGAAAAAACTTAGATATCATCATCCTCATCCTCATCCTCATCATATATGGAGAACTAAGCCTTGTTTCTTCAGACAATGACCAGTAGCTGTCAGTCTTCAAAGCAAATGTAATTATAGAATGGGGCACATTTCAGTGGAGTTAATGCATCTGTGGTTTTTAGAGATATATTTTTGTGGAATCTGCTGAGATTCCACAAAAGAAATCGATTCATGTGGGACTGCGTAAGGGTATCTTGGTTCTTGGCTGGGCATGGACCTGGAACCCCGAGACTCCAAGGGAGAAATGGCAGGTGTTCAGCCATGTCCCCAGATCCCAGGGTCCTGACACACAGTCTAGTCTCCATGGACCTACATTGTTCAGTCATGTAGACCATTACAGCCCCTCCCAAAGTGCACAGGTAGAGGGTATGACTACAGACCTCAGGCCCTAGAGATTTACATACTAATGAAGGCCAGAGGGTGGAACCAATTAAACATTCTTCCTCAAACCCTCCTCCTTCCTCCCTCCCTATTTAACTCAGGTCTGCCCTGAGTTTCAGAGGGGCTGGGGAGGTACATCCAGATCCATCTACCATCCACCATGAAAATAAACCCTTTTGGAACCAAGGACTCTTGTGTCATTGGGGCCGCGCCATGAGGAATTATGCAGAAGGCCTTTAATGAGCCACTGTAGCCACAACCACTAGAGATAATAACTTCCCACCCGGAGGAACTTTCTGCGTTTCCAGGCACCCTACCCATAGCTTCACCCCTTCCTCCAAACTTTAATAGGAAAAATGTAAATAAAATTTCACCCTAGAGAAATAAGAGAGAATTAAATTGATAGGAAAAATACCCAGATTCTAAAATGCAATCCTATTTGATCAGAATGAGTGACAATTATTTAACAGTAACATCCACTGAAGGGTGGTTTGAGAATCAGTGATGGCAAGACACTGAGCCAAACATACAGACAAACAGCCAAGAGCATAAACTCCAGAGTCAGACCAAATCACTTAAACTCCCTGAGCCCATTCCATTCCTGACAAACTGATGACAGTGATGAGAAGCTATGAGAATTAAAAAGTACTCTATATACAAAGAACTCAACACATGATAGCTCAGAGAAAGTCCTCAAATTTTGTTATTATTTACTAATTTTAAGATCATTCTGGCTGCTCTATGTTGAGCTGTCCATGAAAACAGAAGGTGATTAGGAGGTGGATGGGTGCTCAGTGGATGGGTGCTCAATGGATGGGTGCTCAGTGGATGAGTACTCAGTGGATCAGTTCTCTGTGGATGGGTGCTCAGTGGATGAGTACTCAGTGGATCAGTTCTCAGT